TTCATAGAGAGACAGCTGTGCCTTTATGGGAATAACTTATTATAGGTGGACAAAAGCTTTCGGGTATGCAAGTTTTGTGTAAGAGCCTGAAGAATGACTTGATAGTTTTTTAATATCCAAGCAAAGAAACTGCATTTTCCAAGAACTTCAGTTAGCGGAACAAACATTTGGTCCTTGTTCTTGTTACACTGTCTCATTACTTTATTTCCTGCTCTGAAAATAAGACCTTAAAAAGCAGTTCTTCAGGAAAAAACCCTAAGATGGTATTTCAGACTAACTGCAGGCTATATTGGTAAAGTTGTCTAAATAGGCAATTCTATTATGTGGATTGCCTATGGATCCTTGAAATTTTGAGGGTTTTGTTATCATGAGATAAATTTGCATGAGCTGTTAGATATTCAGACAACCACCACAATACGTAGTTTAAACAATGTTAAAATCTAATATGTTGGAAGACCTCTGGCTGTTCTAAAGAAGCTATAAACATTTCAGGTGATCAAACATAAAATTTCCAAATGTAGCTTAACTTGCTTTAAAATAGAAAGATGCAGTTTTCCATTACAGAAAAAATCAACCTCAGCTTAATTTTGTTTTACTGGAATCCAGTGCCAGTAGGTATGCTGTGATTCCAACCAGGTGTTTCATTATATCAAAGGTACTATAAAAGAGGACTTCTATCTGTTAGGGATGTTGAATCTTTCTCAAAGACTTTCATGCAGACTCACTCCTGGCTCAGCTCTTCAAACTACCTGTCAAGTACCTTGCATAATAAACTGAAGATTCCATAATATCCTGACTTTAAAGGTGGTTTGAAACTTAAGTATAATGATGAAATGCTTATTCCAAACTCATGCTCAGTATTTTAGCCATTACACCTGGGGACAAGGAGTTAGGCAGTAGTGAGATGACTTTAAGAGATGTGTTTTAATGAGCCCAAACAACTCATGTGATTCTGCCTGTAAAACTGAGCCTGACTTAAAAATCTAGCAGCAGTTGTTTTGTCAAATTGCACACCTTTGGTCTGTTGAGGTAACATCTTCAGCTCTTCAGAAGTGACTCTGCTGAACTGGAGTAAAGTTTGCTGTTATAGTTGCTTACAGATATGTATTCATTTCAATTTAATATTTGTCATCTTAAAGGTTAGAGCAACAAAAAATATTTTAAGTAACAATGCCATATACACCTGTAAGTTGAGTGACTTTTACTTAATAAAGGCTAGGGTGGATTTTAGTCTGCCAGTAATGTTAGTGAAGTTAATGAAAACTGTTCATCTAGAGGAAATGACTGAGCACTGCACTGAGCAGATGGCTGCAGAACTTTTCAACCCTAGCAGCTAGATGACAGGATCAGGATAAGAAAAGAAGGTCACTGCAGAACAAAGAAATGAATTTTGTATTAGTGTTCTGTATTATGGTTTGGATTTCAGTTGCATTAGATCTTCCTTTTGTGGGAAAGTCTGTCAAGCCAAAGAAAGGGCAGAATGTGTAGCAGGCTGAAAGGAATATAAAATTTTTCACAGTAATAAAATTGTGAAGCAGTGTAGCAAGTAAGATCTAAGGAGAGGCTCATCAATTTCCTCCTCTAGAGAAGCCTCAGCTGAGAGGAAAGAATTGGTATAGAAAACCCTATTATGGAAAACTGTAGCATATGAGTCAGTTAATGAACATTTTTTCACATGGACAATGTGGTTTTCTCCTAGTAACAGGAGTATTTTAATGGATTTAGCTAGGATCTTTATCAATTCTAGATACAGCATTTTCGCTGTATTTGATGTTTGAAGGCTGCTTATCTGCTGAGCTGATCAGATCATGAGTAGGTCAAAGCAGTTAAGCAATGAACACCTTACCAGCCTTTCTATCTAGTTTTATTTTTGCTGCTGACTTCTTGGTCTTGTTCAAACAGCTTTGTTCTAGTATTGTTCTGGGCTAACAAGGAATTTCCCAAGCTGCTGAATAAAAGCTTGGGTGCTTGAGTAACAACTTGTGATGGTGGTACATCTTGCATGAACAGGCTTCACACCCTTGCTTTAGGGATATATACTTTTCATATAGATGTTTGAAGTATCAAACTTGTATGTATTGGCATGCCCACAGTTAAGTCCCTCTTTGTTTTTAGGAAGAGGACAGTAGGAGCTTGTGGTGGACTTGATGAATTCCGTGTTGCGTGGTCTCACTTTGTAGCCATTGTGTGCTGCACTGACAGTGGGAGCATAATTCTCTTTCCTTGAGTACACATGGATTTACACGTACATGTGCTGAGCAAAGCAAGCCTCATGTGAGATGACAGGGCTTATAGGAATCCAAGGAACAAGTTATGTGAAAGATAAATGGTCTTGTAGGGTTGCTGATGGGTCCACAGTATGTAGCTAAGCATCACTTAACTAGGTTCCAGATTTTTCCAGAGCAGGGGTGGCTTCAAAGTGCTGTGTGACAACTGAAATTGTATGAATAACTAGATGGAAAAATGTCCATATTTTTGAGATGAATAAATAATCTTTCTAGCTCAGAGGTTATGGCAGGAAGGTTGGTGCTGTTTGCTTCACAATGTCTGTGTCATGAGAAGACTGAGCATTGTGGTTGTGTTGAGCACAGGATGTGACTCCTGTCTGGTTTCATTAGAGTGCTGATGGCACAATTGGAAGGTGTTTGATATAGCAGAGGGTTGTGCTGCCATACAGAGGGACCTGGACAGACTGGAAAAATTGGCTGACAGGAATCCCAGGAAGTTTGACAAAGGGAAGTGCCAAGTCCTGCACCTGAGGCACAATAACCACATACTGCTGCAGGCTGAGGACTGAATGAGTGCTGAGAAGAGCTGGGGGGTCCCCAAGCTGAACGTCAGCTGGCAGTGTGCCCTTGTGGCAAAGGCAGCCAGCACTATCCTGGGCCATGTTTGGAAGAATCCTGCCAACAGGTTCAGGGAAGTGGTTTTTCACCTTGGTTAAACTTGATGGAAACCACATCTAGAGTGCTGTGTCTGGTTCTGTGTTCTCCAGTAGAAGAAAGATGTGGCTTAATGGTGTGCATCCAGAAAAGGGCCACAAACATTTTTGAGCATTTGGAGGTAGGAAAAGCAGATGTGAGAGCTGGGATTATGTAGCCTCAGGAAGAGAAGGCTCTGAGAATCTTACTGTAAAGTATATAAACACCTGACAGGAGGGAGCAAAGAGGATGGAGCCAGACTGTTCTCAGTGATACCTGCTGAAGTAACGTGTCACAATGGGCACAAACTGAAATACTGGGAATTCCCATTAAACATAGGAAAACGCTTTTAAGTGCAAGGGTGTCTGACCACTGGAACAGGTTGCCCAGAGAGTTGTGGTGTCTTCATCCTTGGAGGTAATCAAAACACATCTGGATGTGGCCCTGAGCAGCCTACATCAGCTTGTGTGGAGCAGGGTGTTGGAAGTAGATGATTGCCAGAGGTGCCTTCCAACCTCAGCAATTCAGTTGTTTAGTGACTAAGAAATTTGGAGTAATTTTCCCTGCTGTGTTATAATAAAATTATAACTGTGTGGTAGGAAGGAGCAGGTTTCCTGAGAATACTATTGGGCTTCCTTTCCCAGTGACCTGTGTTAAGAGTTCTGGGCGTGTTGTTTTCTGTGGGACAATATCCCAAATTCTAGATAGGAAAATCCTGCCAAACTTCTGCATTTGTCTAGTAATTCAGGCACTGTATTTTTTTTTTTTTAATACTTCCTCTTAAAGATATCATCTGTTAGAAGGGGAAGTATGAACTGTCCTTGTTATAGGAAATCTGTGGCAGTGATTATCCTGTTATTTATGAGGCCCTTGCAACAGATCTTCATGCTGCTGGACGCTGGGATTTACTCTGTGCCAGAGTCTGCTCAGGTGAACATAGTAAATGTTAGCAGTCTTGAATCTGAAGCATCACTCCAATGTGACACTAAGCTGATTGTCCAGTGTGGGTGGTGATCTTTACTATCCTGTAATGTCCAGGTTTTTACTAAGAGGGGGAGGTATGATTTTCTTTGGAAATTTTCCTTTGGCTACATTTTACTGTTCATGCCTATTAAGCGTTCCTGGATATCATTCATATGTAAGGACTTATATTCTGACTCCATTTTTCTACCCTTGTAAATCAAGGCACATTAGTCTCTTTCAGGTGTACTAAAATCTATGACTTTCAAGTTCAAAGTTATTCCAGCAGAATGGATCCTAGCACTGGTGATTTACTGATGTAATGCTGCTGCTTCCAAATTACTGATACTGTGCTGTTCACTACTGTTTTGGTTAGTGTCTAAGCTTTTGTGCCAATTTGAAGTGTTGGTAATCCTAGAACCTGTGAAGATAGACCTGAGAAGTTGTGAGGACTGCAGGGAACTCTTCAGCTTCATGCAGGTTCTTAGGGAGGGATCACACAGCTGCTTGTGTTCTGTTCAGCATACAGGGCAGTGCCTGTCGATCTCTGAAAACAGATTCCAGCAGCTGTCACTCAGCGTGGCACAGCTCTCTGCTTTGTTGAGGTGCTGGATGTTGTGCAATTGCATTAATGCTTCTGCAGGCCAGGGGAAGGGCTTTGGAGTATAAGGAAGCCCCACAAGACTCCTGGAGGCAATCAATAGTGTTCAGCATTCTCAAGCAATTAGTATTGCAGTGTGTTCAGCGCCTCCCTGTGCAGTCTGTTGTTAAACAGTTGTTCTATTAAGCTCTTCCAGAGCACAGCACACACTGACATGGTTGTGTTACACCGGAGGGATGGCAGTGAATGGATTCCAGCAGAAAACATGCACCCCATTCAAGGATTTTTGAGTAGTTGTATGCACCACTCAAGACTCTGGGATTCCTGGCTTTGTAGGAGGCCCTTAATGCAAGCACCAAAGCCTTTTAATTTCTTCTGCTCGGTCCTGTGCAGTAGGGAGGGCACAGATGGGAGTTCAGCTGGGCTCGAGGTGGCTGGAATTGCTATTGCGGCATTCCTCGGTGCTGGTGGGAGAGAGGGAGAGACTGATGACTCATCAAGTCAGGTGGTTGTGCCTCTGCTGTGTGTCAGAAATTTCTTTCCCCTCTGCAGCAGGCTTTCTCATCCCTCTGTGTAGGGGCACTAGAAGGACGATTATTTCGCAAGCGGTGATGCTTCACTGCTGAATTCTAGCTTTCTAATTAGGCCTGTGGGTTTTTGTTACTCCCTGCTTCTGCAAAATAAGGTAAGGATCTGTGGTTATATTATAAAATTGTTGTAGATTTTCTTCCTTGCTGCAAGAAGGCTTCTTCTAAAAATCGTGCCAGAGTCTGAATTTTGAAAAGACGTTTGTGTTAAGGCAGTTCACCATATAAATTCTGCATCTGATCAAGTGTTAGATGCAAAACCCAGGAACAGTGAAGGAAAATGGGTTACTCCAACATTGAGAGCAGGGCAGTTACATTTTTTGGGCTACTGTGTAACCAGATTACTGTGCTAGGGGCAAACCAAGATAGAAAGCTCAGGTTATGGGCTCTTATTTAATTAGGACTTTAAAATCAGTGTAATAAATCACCTTTTAGTCAAAGAAGGTTCTGCTGCAAGTAATACTTTGATTTCTGGCATTGTTAATCAGAGTATGATTGCTAGAGCTTAAGAGCATGTTTGAAATCAATTGGTGAACTGTTTTAGATAAGGAAGATATAAGCTGTAAAGGATACAAGATGCATCTTTACTCATAAGGGAATTAAAATTAAGCTAATATCCTATGTAGGTGTGCTAGTGGACTTTTGTAGGAGGGAAATTCATATAGTACCTAATATCCTGTGTTGGCAAGAGGCCTTTCAAAGGCCTCAGGGGTTCTGTAGATTTCTAAAATGGTCAGCTGTTGTGGCTTCTGGGGTACATACATGCTTTAGGGTATTTCATTTTCTTTGATTACTGGCAATGGAAACATCCAACAGGGTAGGAAGGTAAGGCAGCATTTTGGCCCTCAAGGACTTTTCCATATAAATTGAAAATCTGTAGTGCCACTACACAAGCACAAGAAAAGGATGCAGAGATAAATAGCAGCTTTTTAAATTTTTTTTTCCCCTAATTTGTATTCAGTGTTATGAGATGTGTAACCCCTTAAGAAAGAGGTCATCCTGGCTGGATGGGCATTGGCTTTGCATAGACTGTATTTTAGAGGCATAGCAGAGGTGAGAAAGAATTCACATCTTTTGCACTTGAAATAGTTAATAGGTATGTGTTTAGAAGCGGTTAGTGCAGATGCTAGAGATGATGGTAAAGGTAGAGTTTATTAGTGTGCTGCTAGGTGGTCGAGGGGGGAATCCCTTATGCTTTTACTTGGCTTGGCCTGTGACTTGGAAAGGAGGCTGTAGGAACAGAGAGGGAGCAGAGCAGCCACAGGAATAAGAGAGGCAGGTGCTGGCTGTCAGGATGTTGCCATTTAACTGCAGAATGGCTGTTCTGAGGTTCTTACTTGCCTCCCTAAAAGATAAACAGTCACTTCAAGCAGGTTTTGATTATGAAGAAAAGTTAATTTAAATTGAAACTGGCCCAGTGTTCCTGCTTTTCCTTGCCTTTGTAATTTGACTCTTTCATATGGGATGTTGTCTAATTGCCAGGCTGTGTCACTAATTCAGTTATGAGAATGTGGTTTTAACTCTCTACTGTGCTTTTAGAGATGATGTTGGTAGTAGGACACTGGATGTTGTTCTGTATGGTATATTGAAGTAAATGTTTAATTTTGATTTGTAAGAGCAGCTGCTTCTTCTGGCATGAACAGCAATTATGGTTGCTTGAGTTTTGCAATGTTTTAGTTGTTAAAAGCAAAAAAGGTGAGATAGTTATGTTAGTCAGATCAGAACCAGCTCATACCAGCTGCTCAGGAATGGCAGATTGCTTTGTGAGGACCTCCCCTCTGCCATTTGTCAGAGGAGACATTTGAGAAAAAAACAATGAAATTAAAATTGCTTCCTGGGTCTGAACACTAGGCAGTGTGAAAGATAACCTATGGCTATGGAGGGTAGAGGGATCTCATGGATATCTGGCTCAGCCTTTGGGCTCGAGACCCATTAGCAGGTCTGCTCCAAGCTGGTGCTGACTAAGCCATGATCAACTGTTGTGGTGGCTGCTGTGGAATAAATCAGTGGCAGCCATGATAGACAGTACACACAGTCCACTGAGACGTGGAGCCTGGAAGAAGCTATTCCTTCAGGATGAGCAAGGGTTTGGGATCGTGGGAGATCTTTATCTTATGGAGCAGTGCCACCAATTTAAAACTTAGAGATCAGTAAAGAGGTTGAGGGGCCGAGGACTTGTATTGTTGTATTAAAAAGCTGGAAAACAGTTCTAGGAGTTCAAGAATAGCAGAAGTCAGCTACTGCTCCCAAAGAACAGGCAAAAACGTATCCTTTAATTGTGCTGGAAAGGGTGGAAATGGAGTTGTTGTCTTGCTTATTGTAAACTGGGCAGGTTTTTAAGCCTGAGTATACCTTTATATTTGCTGCCTTGTAAAAGATGCTGGGTTAGATTAGGCTTCTCTCAAAGACTTGAGTGTGAGTGTCAACTGATGCCTCCCAGTTCATGTCACCAAAGCAGGGGCCTTGCTGTTGATTAGCACCAAAGCGCTCTGTGCTGGGGCAGCTGCGGTGCACCTTTCTCCAGTGCTGTGTCCTAAGTGTGTCTGTACAGGAGAAATGGGAAGAGTGTGGCCTTACAGTGCTCTAACACCCATCAGTTTCCAAGGTAACACACAGCATGATGAGGGCTCACAAAGCAAAACCGTTAAATCCTCTGATCCGCACCGGAAGCAGGACAGCCCAAATATCGTCCGCAGGACAAACATGGATGGAGGAAGTCTGTTGATAAAACAGCTTTTCCAGTGCCAGTTGTTTAGATTCGCTAAACAGTTACTGGCAAGAGATGACAGCCTGTTGTTTAACTGGTGCAAATTGGGGGTTTTGGCCATTATTCAGCACAATTCTTCTGTAATGCTCCGTGGGTTTCACTGAGAACAAAAACTGCGTAATATGTAGCTGTGAGACACGTAGAGAGGACTCACGTGTTCATGTGCTGGTCCTTCTGAAAATCTGTGTTTCTTCCTCTAAATGCTGTGATTCAGAGCCTTAAGATAGCAAAAATGGAATTTGCACAATTAATATTTGTAGTATTGCATTTTAGAGACTGGTGGCAGTAAAGCAGACCCAGAACATTCTCTCACTCACTCACTCACTCATTCAGAATCATGGAAAACTCCATATTTTGAAGGAGGGTAATGACAATACAGAAGAGATTTTCATTTAGATATCCTATTACCAAGGATTAAAAACAATGCAGTGTTAGGGAATTGTTGCACTGCATTTTTTTTCATTCAGTAGCATTCTGTGGCACTTGTTACAAAGTGGTGTTTTACCTGATGTTCTACCCCTGTGTTTCTGCATCTCAGATCAAGGAATTTCAGATCTTTTGTTTGTTTAAATAGTTTAATTTTTCACTTTTTGCAGCTTTAAAATCACAGTGGTTAAAGTGATACAGGCTATGGGTTCAGAATTCTTTTTAACTGGAAATAAGAAGAGAGCAAAGGAAAGAGGAGGAACTTACTATATGTGTATGTTCTTCAAGAATGACTCCTATTTTTTTTTTATTTTGTTCAGTTGAACAGGCAAAATGGACTTCTCCAAACTCCCCAAAATCCGTGATGAGGACAGAGAGGCTTTTGTTGGCTATGTTTATGGAGTCTCAGGACCTGGTAGGTATTATTTTGTAAAGGAAGTAATAAATTTTGTTTTATCTAGGATCTTGTTAATCTTCACTTGAAAGTAGAGAAGTACAAAAGAGCTCTGGGTGGTGCTTTTCATCTTCTTTTTTTTTTTTTCTGGGTGGGGGACTTCAAGAAGGATTACTGATTTATAGTCTGATAAACTATTAAAAAAGCTGGTAACAAGATGTTACTATTAATTAACCTTTCTTGAAAATGTAAAGAGCAGAAGCAGTCAGTTGAGTAAAAACAATAGTAATAACAAAAGGTAAGCTTTCTGTATGAGATGAAGCCCCTTGGTTGGAAATCTGCAGGGCCCAGTGTGCTAGGTTCTCTAAAAGCTATGAAGTATGTAGTCAGTTCTCACTGAAAGTTTGCCCCTGTGCTTTCTGAGATACTCAGTCCCTGTCAGTGTCAAGCTGCTCTGTTTGCTGCACCATGGGCTGGGGTAGCTCAGTAAGGAGACAAAAGAGTCAGGGAAGGTGGTACAATGTGGTGATAGTGCAGCTGGGAGAAGGAGGACTCTTCCTTCATCTTTATCAACTGAAATAGTTTAGGCTCTGATAGCAGCAGCTTTTGAATACATGCAGAATCTGCTGACTTTTCTACTCCCTCCTGCCTTCTCTTCAAGAGCTGAAGGAAAGGATCGGAATGTGAGAACAGAAGATCAGAAAGTATTTTTGTTAATGCAGCATATTTGATGAATAAAAAATTCCCTACCTAAATAGGCACAAGTTTAACTGCAAATTCTGTAACTGCTGAAGTGGTACTTAGAAACAATTTTAAACTGACACAGCTTTCTTTCTCAAGAAGTGGAAAATGTATTTTTATGTAAATAAGTGAATCCTGTGTGCATTACTGTGATCATAATATACAAGGCATAATAAATTTTGTTCTAAAGCAACCAGGACTTCATATATGACCTGCTGAAATCTTAACTCAAAGTGGTGGGAAGTTTCAGGCCCAAAACATGCTACATAACAGTCTTCATCTGTTGAAAGTTAATTTAAGTGCCCTAAGATACACATTGCTTTTCTACAAAATAAAGCAAAAAAATAGTGTTTTCTTAAAAGCTTTCTAGGCATCACTTTAAATGCAAGGGTATTTAGCAGGTGCCTTGGCTTGTTTATGTCAGCATCCAGATGCTGCCAAGGTAAACAGAAGTTTAAGTGACTCGAAAATGCTGACCCCCAACCACTGGTTTATGTAACTACCAGACATTGGGTGAGTTTCACCATTTTCTTGTGGGTTTTAATTTAGTCAGATGAAAATGTAGCCCAGCTCACTGCAAGGGAGAAGTGCCTGTAGAATTTGTTTGTCAAAGTTGGCAGCATCTCACAGCCTCAACGTTTGCAATCTGTCAAGATAGATAAGAGAAATTATGGCCTGAATTGTCCTGTGAAGTACTACATTCTCATAGTCTCCTGTTATTCTGGGTAAAGGACAGAATGAAAACTGTATGAAAACGTACTCTTTCTGACTTTTAAACTAGAAATACCAGGAGTTGTGGCATCCTTTTGTGAATTCAAGAGTTTGTGTCCTATATGGGTGAATACCAGGTTTATGCTGTGCAGTTCTATACTGGCTTGTAATGGGTGAATTTCCTGAGCTTCAAGAAAAACAACTCACCTATGTGCCTGTCTTTTGCAGTGGTCACAGCCTGCAACATGGCAGGTGCTGCCATGTATGAGCTGGTACGAGTAGGACACAGTGAACTGGTGGGGGAGATTATCCGGCTGGAAGGTGACCTGGCAACAGTCCAGGTGTATGAAGAAACGTGTATCCTTTTCACTGCTTCCTCTAGTGCTGCCAGACCACACAGTCCACAGTACTGGTGATTAGGGTAAAGAGGGTGGAAATAAGCCCTCAATACTTTGGGGTCTAGCAGGACATCTGTTCTGCATGTGTTTCGTAAATTTGGATGGTTTTAAGGTGAATCTTACCTTGTATGGCTGTGTAGCAAGGAGACTTCTTTTAACTGGAGATCTAAGTGTACGTTAGAATTCAAGTGCATTTTAATGCCTCTTTGTTAAGGCCCATTGACAAGTGTCAACCATAAATGGCAAAACTAAGCAATATTTCTTGCATCTTTTTTTTTTTTCTTTTAATAACAGTGCTTGTATATAATGTTTAAATAAGAAATGTAAAGTGGGCAGGATGCCTTCTTCTGGACAGAGTATTTGCCAAGCATAATAGATTACGCTTTTTCTTCTGCAGTGGGCTTTTGGTCCAGCTATAATGCAGCATATATTCTAAAATAAAACCTAGATATATTACATGTGTATATATATATATATGTGAGAAAATATCAGAAAAGAAGTCATAAAACTTGAAGCCAGGCCTCCCAAGGGGAGGTGTATCATTAGAGCCTGGAAAAAAGGCTGTACTGGCTCCGAAACCTTGGTTCTAAGGAGCTTGCTGGTAAACTGCTGCCTAGGTGCTGTCTCTTTGTAATAATTTATCATTTTAGTTGGCATCATTGTTACAGTATCGAGTAGCTTTCCATCAGTATGTGGAACAAGTTTGCGTATAGTTTACTTTTAATTTCCTGTTGAGCAGAAACTCAGTCATAGGCCTCTCTGAAGTCATCTTGTATTTGATCCCTTGAGTTTTGTATAGGTTTTAGAGGTTTCTTTTGTATTCTAGCAGGGCCTTCTGCCGAGGTGCTGGCCCTTTGCTGAGAAAAGTCTACTGTGCATCTCTGAAGCTTAGGTAGTGGATAGACCTGACAACTTGATACAAGATGGGAGGGCAGTAGTGCTGGTCTTAGACAAACTCCTTTTAAAATTAGGCTGCTGTTGGAAAAAAGCTGTGCGAGGCTCAAGATCAAAGCAGTTGTGCTCTCTAAACAAATTCTGAAGTGAAAAATTCCATGTTTCATAACATTATCTGACTTAAACAGCCTAATATGTTTTCTAGATTTGAAGATGTAAGAAATGTGTGATGTTTTGTCATCCCACTGCCTGGCACTCCAGTGAACTCATCCATATTAGTTGACATTAGTTGCCAACAACAGTTGACTTGAACAAATGATTGTAAAGTGGAGTATTTGTCACTATTTTGCCTCTCTAGAGGATGGTGAACTTTGGTGTTTCAGCAAATTCAGAATTTAATATAAAGTCTATATGTTCATTAAATGATGTGATGTGTAACATAGGATTAGGATTACCTTAAAGTCAGAAAAGGAGTTTGAGAGTATGATGTTGTGAACCTGATGATTTCTGCCTGGTTTCTTTCTCTTGTTCTGGATGAACTTTTCCTCAGCAAATCTTTAGCTGGTGTCTCTGTAGGAGATCCTGTGCTCCGTACTGGGAAGCCCCTATCAGTGGAACTGGGGCCTGGCATTATGGGAGCTATTTTTGATGGTATCCAGAGACCTCTCTCAGACATCAGCACTCTGACCAAAAGTATCTATATCCCCAGAGGTGTCAACGTGTCAGCATTGAGCCGAGATATCAAATGGGACTTCACACCTTCCAAAAATCTGCGGGTAGGTTCTGACAATCCTGTGTTCCCCTCTCGCTCCTCCACCCCCAGAGCTTAGGCCTGGAGCAGCGTGCTGACTGCTGGGACCTGTGGCTGATGCTGCATTTATTGAAGTTTGCAAAAAGGAGTTTTAAGAGGTGGTAGTGATGTATGAGACTGGATGGGGATCACCAAAACTTACTTGATACAACTTACGGTGTGTTGCTGCTGCATATGAGAAATTTACAGAGTTTTAATGTATTTACCAAACCATAGAGAAACTCGTGCAATTTCAGTAAGCACTAGCAGGAGCAGGTATTGCCTGAGCAAAAACAATGACTGCAGCACACATTTTGCAAATGGTGAAGGTAGCCTTAGAGCTGGAAAATGTCATGGCTTTAGCCCTTTGCAGCATCTTTTTTCCAACCCTGCAGGTTAGCATATGCTGTCCTTTCTCTTCTTAGCACGTTAGGTTGAGAGGTGGAAAAGAAACGAAGAAAATTCCTTTTCTCTGTCAGTAATTGCTCCTGTCTGAGCTTTGAAAGGCACTTGAGCACAGGTAGTGTTGCTCTCAATGCTGTTGGAGTAATGAGTTATGTAAATGAGCTACTGTGCTGCAACAAGGAATTTTTAAAAGGGGTAATCACAGTGCTAGACTTAATAGCTGTAGTATTTTTTGCAGTTTGTCAAGGTTCTTTTTTAAAAGTTATGACTAATAGACCTGTTCTGATTTTAGGTTGGCAGCCACATCACTGGTGGAGATATTTATGGTGTGGTAAATGAAAACTCCCTGATCAAACACAAAATCATGCTGCCCCCACGGAATAGGGGTACAGTTACATACATTGCTCCTCCAGGAAACTATGACACTTCAGTAAGTCTCCCAAACAGCAGTTGGGTATATTCCATGTCTCTTTTATAAGGTAGATGTACTCTTTCTGTTCTGCATGAGGCCAGCTTAAGTGTTTCATGCAACAAAGTGTCTGAGATAATGGTTACTTCTGCTACCCTGCCTGCAGGGGTTGCATTATTATTTAGTGCAGGTACTTTCTATGTATATGGCTTCCCAATGGCACTTCACTATGCCATGTTTGATGACCTCTGTGGGGATCTACAGTATCTTATGAATATGTAAAGTTCAGTTGCTCTTCGAAAGCATATTTTTAATGTATGCTGTATCTTACACTGTTTTCTCCCAGTGGCCTTGTAAATATGGGAAAGAGCCTTCCCTTGGGAGGTGATGATTGCATGTTGAGATTCTAAGAGCTCTGTCGTGTTACCAAAGGCCTGTGCAGAGTAGTTAAAATGAGAATTTGTGTGCTGGTCTTTGCTTTGTGTGCAGGTGTTTGCTTACTTTGTATGTGTGGTGCTCTCTGTTAGGATGTTGTGCTAGAGCTGGAGTTTGAAGGTGTGAAGGAGAAGTTCACTATGGTGCAGGTGTGGCCTGTACGTCAAGTCCGCCCTGTCACCGAGAAGTTACCAGCCAATCATCCTTTATTAACTGGCCAACGAGTCCTGGATGCCCTCTTCCCGTAAGTACTTCCTTTTATTTTCTACCGTGCAAGAAACCTCTCTCTTAGGGGGAGCAGAGGTAGGAGGCCTTGGAGCCTTGGGTTTTTTTAAGGGTAAGCTTTCACCATGTGTCACAGCATAATCTTAAAAGACATTTAGCCAACCTTCTCATATTTATTTGGCAGGTCAACCCACTGGTGGAAAAAGGAAGTTTAACAAAACTGTTCTGGTGCATGAATTTAGAAAAAAACTGGACATGCATAAACTTAACATAACCATGTCACATCTGCAGAAAGGCTAGAACTTCCAAGCTTGCTTATCTTCATTTGATTGCATGAGTAGGCTATCTTTCCATGGTCTTGAGGATGTGTAGTTTCCAATGATTTTGAGGTTCCCACTTGGGAAAAATGTTGCACTTAACTGTAACACAGACTGCTCATTTAAGCAGCTAACTTCTAAGACACTGAATTCAGTTATTTTGGTCCTAAAATATTCAAGGACCGGAGAAGAAAAGGATGGTTTAATCCCTCAGTTTTTTGATTTAGTGAAATACCTCTGTGTTTGTCACCTAGAACATTGAATGTGACTCCTGTCATTCTGCTTTTGATGAGGGAGTTCTAGTGGAAAATATATTCTAAGATGGGAAAGAGCTGGTTTTTAGTTCCTTGCAAATCAGAGTCCTTTTTCTTTACTCAGGTGTGTACAAGGGGGTACAACAGCGATTCCTGGGGCATTTGGTTGTGGAAAGACTGTGATCTCACAGTCTCTTTCAAAGTACTCCAACAGTGATGTCATCATTTATGTAGGCTGTGGAGAACGAGGAAATGAAATGTCTGAAGTACTGAGAGATTTCCCTGAGGTTAGTATGGAGATTTCATGGAGACTAAACCTTCCTGGGAAGACTTGCTATTGTACTGCTATTGTAACCAAGTAAAATATCATGTTGATAGAGTGACTTGAAAATACCATCTTGCCTGCCTTGAAGCTCTGACAAAAATCCCCTTTGGCTTGTTCAAGAATTATTTCAGTGCCCCCTCAGTAAACATCTTGACTGGTTTTTAGGTGTACCTTCTCAGTTGTTTAAAATAAAGCCAGAATGAATGTCAGAGAAGAATTTAGCATGGTTGTAAAGCATCTTATCTGTCACTGGTCATGTCTCTAACTTGACCATGCATAGAAAATGCAGCATTCATATGCAAGTTGCAGCGTGATACAGTTAGCAGATATTAGTTTGATGTATTAAGCTTTGGAATACCTTTTGAATTAAGTAGAAAATACCTTGTTAATAAAGAAGCAACAACCAAGCAACAGATTTACCAATCCTTGTACCTGTTACTATGTTTTAATGAAGTTCTTCCGGGGTCAGATAGTACAAACTGTCAGGTGGAAACTTCACTGTTAGAAATAAGGGGTAAAAGGCACTTGGGTGTGTTGATTGGTGACAAGGTGGGAAAGTCAAGCTGAGGTGGCCTTGAAGGAGGTAAATCCCAGGGTATTCATAAGTGGAATTCTACACAAATTTCGGGGTGTGCATTCTGTTGTTCAGGTGCTTGTAAGGCTTCACTGCAGTTAAAAAAGTGGTTTTATGTCCAGTTGTCAAATATGAACTTAGCTTCTTGTAGATGGAGGAAAAAAGCTCTGATTCCTAATGGACTTATGACAGGAGGCTAATAATTATTAGCTCTTTCAGCCTGGAAATCTGAGAGAGGACAATGTGCTTCCTTTTGCAGTGGGTTTGTCGTTACTTATTTGAATGGGATCAACAGGGATTTGGCAGTTGCAGAAGATGAGGTGGGGCTGAAGCATGTACAGTAAAAAGTTAAGCTGTGTGCAGTCTGAAAGACAAACCAACATATCCTAAAATTTTGAATCTTATCTCTGCTCTTGGTAGAATAGCTGTGAGGAGAGTGTCCTGATACAAGGCAAGTAAAACAGTAAAAAAACCCTAAGCATTGAAAAATTAACAAAAAAATTGCTACTGTTACAGCATGGTGTTTTTCCTTTTCTTGCGTTTTAGTTAACAATGGAAGTTGATGGCAAGGTAGAAAGCATCATGAAGAGAACAGCTCTGGTAGCAAATACTTCCAACATGCCTGTGGCTGCCAGAGAAGCCTCCATCTATACTGGTAAGATTTACAAGAGGATAGAGAAAGCTGTGTGTATAAAGGAAACCACCGTGCTCTGGTATTTTCAGTTCCTGAGATGGCCATATCGAGAGACCTGTCTAGTTTCGGAAGTAACCCTTTTCAGATCTTGCCTGCACCAAGTCTTAGTATTTTGATTGAATCTGACTTGTTTGCATATAGTTGCTATTTCTGAATATGAAGTAAATTTTGTTTATAAGGTGAACTTACTGTGCCAGGACTTGTGTAGGTTTTCTGCATGTGTTAATTCTGTAAGCTTTAGGTTTTGACTAGCTTTTTGCTGACAAGTACAGCCACTTAATGGACAGGAATAGTATTCTCCAAGCTGGCAGACTAATCTTTCCTTTGCAACCTCTTAATGGCTTTTTAAAAGCTGGGGGTTTTTTATGAACAGTTGTCAGATAATTCAGATAAAACACAACCTTCTCTCACACTTGTGTTCTGGTGATTTGAAAGGGAAGGAGACATTCTACAGAAAGCAGAGTCTTAGTTCATGGCCTCAGTGAGGGAAAGAGTAGCACCAGTGACATTGCAGTGTCTCTTCAAAGAAATACACCTGAATGTAAGATGAGTCTGAGCGGCTCATAAACAAAAATGAGGAGAGCGAGAAGAAACAAACAGCAACAGCAAAAAGACAGTGGAGACATTAGCAAGAGGAAATAACTTCCATTGTCTGTTTCCATTAAAATATAAACTCAAATAATTTGGTTAATTTGCATCTTTCTGACGACATACAGGCATAGAATCCCTTTCTGAACTGTACGCTGCAGCACGCTGTTGTCTTTGTTACAGGAATCACCCTGTCCGAGTATTTCCGGGATATGGGCTACCATGTCAGTATGATGGCAGACTCTACTTCCCGATGGGCTGAGGCCCTCAGGGAGATCTCAGGGCGACTGGCTGAAATGCCGGCTGGTGAGTAGTCTTTCCTCAGTCTGGTCTTGTAAAACTTTGATCTTACTCAAACTCTGAGCCTTTGACTGAATCTCTGTGTGTTGGTGTTTGCAGACAGTGGTTATCCAGCCTACCTCGGTGCCCGTCTGGCCTCTTTCTATGAGCGAGCCGGGAGAGTGAAGTGTCTGGGAAATCCTGAGAGGGAAGGCAGCGTCAGCATTGTTGGAGCGTGAGTGTTGCATTGCTTTGCCTCTGCACTGGCTGCAGCTCTTCCTTGCTGTTTTTGTATGACACTGTATCTTTTCTTCAGACAAAAAAGGTCTCGTTGCCCTTGCACAGCTGCAGAACTTAAAAATACGGGAATGAGTTGGTAGACACTTAGTTGCTGTTCACCCAGAGCTGCTGCTAGATTGTGCGTGGGGGCAGAAGGAATGAATGTAGACAGGTAGCTCTGTGAGGTATGGAATCACAGGCACAGCAATCGGATCAAGTGGCTCAGGGGAGAATGTCATTAGAGTTCTCTGAGAAGTATGTCAAACCATGCTTAGAGCAGGAAAGAAGGGGCAGTTAGAGCAGTAGTGTACACTTGGGGGCATAATGGATTGTGACTCTCATGCTCAAATAGAGTAGAATTCCATGGAGCAGTATATCTCAGACTGTGATATGCTATGAGAAGCATGTTGTCCACAGGCATTCTCCTAGCTGATACTGGTTTGTGTATCATACCCTGGGCAAAGTGGATTCCCTGTGTTTTCAGGAGGGCCTCTGGCATCAGCACGAACACCTGGAGCTGATTTTTTGCTTTGCTTAGCTCTGCTGTTCACAACATACATACATAAGGGCTTTCTGCTTTTGAGATTAGAAAACTACATTTTTTTTTTATCTCTGGGAAGGCATGTATTGGAGTGTTAAGCATAAATGAAGTAGTGACTGTATAGGTGAAGATTAAAATTAATTCAAAATCGGGATATTGTTTCCTGTAAGATCACTGCACTGGGTATTCATTATGTTCTATCAGCACTCTTGCTGAATCTGTTCCAGTTGAGACAGGTTTGATGATCCAAGCTGGAGTTACTACCTAGAGCTAACATGACTGAAATTACACCTTAATACTGTCAATCAGTCACTGATGTAACTATTTTATGATATGCTTGATATTACCTCTGCGTGGGTATGCATCAAGCACTTTCTACAAACATATTGCAATCTGTTATTTACTTGGAATCATGTTGACTTTTCTGGTTCTCTGCACTGAGCTGTGCAGTCAGTCATATGTTCAGTACTTCAGTTTGAACTGTGAAAGCAGCTCTAATAACCTTTCCCTGTCTCTTCCTGCTTAGTGTCTCTCCCCCAGGTGGTGACTTCTCTGATCCTGTTACATCTGCTACCCTGGGCATTGTTCAGGTACGTCCCACAACATTGTAGCTTTTCTGTCCACTTTATTAGACACTAGATGATTGTATTTCAGCACATTTGTGCCAGTGGCTGGCGTGAGAGAGCTTTGATTTGTCACAGGCAGTGTTGTAGGGTGTTTTGGAAAGTGTTCTAACACTGTAAAAAGCGACCTTGTGAAATGTTCTCAAACTGATGTGTTTGAGATCCCTTTGGAAGAGGGAGTGAAGGCAGCAATTCCTTCCTACATTGCCTGCTCAGGGATATCTGTCTGTCTGTCTTTCTATCTCAGGTGTGCTTTCTAAGTGCTGCCTATTGAGCTGCACTGCAAACGTATCTGTTCCACTGAGATGGAAAGTAGACCATTTAATATAGGTACATGGAAATCACAAAAAAATCCTTGGAGAAGCTGTCTGGGAGTGTCTTGAAACTGTTTGCAGTTTTGGGAAAAGCAGTTACATCTATTCAGTCTCCACTTTACTTAGACTCCAATATTGACATTGCTATGGCTGACTGCTCACTCATGAGCAATCTCAAGCTGAATAAATCTGAACTCAGATGAAAGTTGCATCATTTTTTGAGAAGTGTTATTTGAATGTCTCTGCTATAGTTAACAGGCTCCCAGGCTTCTATTTGTGAAGCCTTTGCCATGCTGCATGAACTCCAACTTGCTCAACTTGCTCTCTGTATTTTTTTTTTTAATTGCCTTCAATTATTTTAGTTCACTTTTGATTTGGAGAGCTGATTGACCTTTCTGGCTTCTGGCAGGTTTTTTGGGGCCTGGATAAGAAGCTGGCACAGCGCAAGCACTTCCCGTCTGTGAACTGGCTGATCAGCTACAGCAAATACACACGAGCCCTGGACGAGTACTATGACAAACATTTCACAGAATTTGTCCCTCTCAGGACAAAGGCCAAAGAGATCCTACAGGAGGAAGAGGACCTTGCAGAGATTGTGCAGCTTGTGGGGAAGGTGAGTGACCAGTGTCATTAAGCCATCCTTCATTTCCTTATGGTTAGTGCAGGCTTTTGACCGTGTCTTAGAGCAGACCTGATGGATATTGCATTGCATACAAAAGATCACTGGGAGATGTCAGACTGTCACCTCAAACTGCATTTTATTACAACTTTTCTACATGTTGTTTGGCTTTTAATGACAAATAGTTTTTCAGATTTGATAAATCTTGGCTTGGTTTTCTCCTGTAAATGAGATTGTGGGATATCTACTGCTTGCTTTAAAGTTCACTTGCTTCAGTGTTCTAGTATTCCTGAAATGCCCCTTGCTGCAACTTAAAGTACTATTCCATTGGAAGCAGTCTTTGTAGAGAGATTATGCAAACCCATCTTTACTGTTGAAGTCATCTGAAGGGTTAGTTTATTAGAAACCATGTTGTCAGCTGTGTGACAGAGGTGCTGGCATTTACAAGTTGGCCTGTGGAAACAAAGTGAAGTCTGCTTTTTAAAAAACTTGTGATTATCCATTTTCTCTTTGGAAACCTGTGACATATGGCTCCATTTTGCAGGCATTCTTTCATTTCCTTTTTTCACTTCAATATTTTGAAGAGAAAGGTAAACTTGGACAGGAAGATTTCCATTGAAAGCTCTCAGAAAGGACCCAGTGAAAACTGTGCTTCAGCCTAGCACTATAAATATGATAATTGGCAGGTTCCTGGCACATACTTGACAGTAGTTTAATTCTGTGATGTTCAGATGAGCTATTATGATTTACAGAGTTGTAGTAGTGTGTAGCAACATGTATTTAATACAGTTACTTGAAGGAAGTTTGCTCACCGTGCTCTCTCTTCACTGATGTTCTAGTCCAACCAAGATGAGACCTTTCATCAGAACTTGCTTAGTAGAGCTCTCTTCTCATGACGTGTCTTGGAAGAAAAGGAAATGGGGTCACAGGACTTTCTACAGTTCTCTATTTACAAAACCATATTCTAAAAGACTGGTTTGCAAAGCAGGGTAGGCTTGAGTCCTTAGTGTGGAAGGGAAATTGATAAGCCAGTACTTGTGGCTATGCATTGTTTTCATGATAGAAGTACTGGAACTGGTGATTTTTTTTTCAGATCAACAACTTTGTTTCAAATAACAAAGGAAGTTCCTTTCTGTCTGGGCTTGGCTAACAGCTGCAACAAACCTTTAGAAAGGGGGAATTGTGAAAGTACAGTCAGTGTATTTTTTTCTTTTTAGCTCTGAATTTTGTTAGTCTCTTCATGATAGAAGGTCCAAACTTCCTGTCTAGAAAGCAAGTTGGGCTACTTAAAGCTCAATCAGGCCCCTCTAGTAAAAGGATGATGAAGGTGGAGAAGAGCAACCTGTGGTGCCAAAAACAGCAGTGTACAGTGGGGTTGTGGCTATCCTGTGGAGTGTGACAGGCATTGTCATCAACTCCTTTTCTTTTCTGGAATGCCAGGTGGGAAAAGGATATTGGTAACAGTGCAGACTAGTACCAAATCCTTTAGCTTGCTGCTTGATCTAGCATGCTGAAAACTAGATGTTTGAAACTAGTGTTTCTTCCATAAGGATTGAGGAAGGTAAAAATTAATTTCTCTTTATGTAGGAGGGTGACGTTTCAATGTATCTCATAGCAAAGCCATGTGCATTTTCAGTGTCTGCTGGCTTTTCCATGGTGTTAAGCAGTGGGAAGGAAGTTCCCTTTCTCATCAGAAAGATCTAAAGCAAACTTACCAACTGTTTGGCCCATCATAATCTGGCAATTAGTTAAATTGGCTGTTCTATAGCAGGGAGTGAGAAACACCCAAAAGACAGAGTTCTGCTTGATGCAATCTTAGGAGAGTGGGAAGAAGACAGGTACCAAAAGACAGCTGTTCTTAGCCAGTACACACTGTGCCTTCATGGACTGGAGTACTAAACTGATTGTTTACCTTACTTTTCTAGGCTTCCTTGGCAGAAACAGATAAAATTACCTTGGAGGTTGCCAAGCTGATAAAAGATGACTTCTTGCAGCAGAATGGTTACACGCCTTACGACAGGTGAGATCTGACTGGCCACTCTGCCCTCTTAGTCCTGTGCAATCTGGACCAATACAGTTATTTTACATGGAAGCTGACCAGTGCAGAAATTAATGTTACTAATCCCTAAAGCTTAGGTAGCCCATTCAATAATGCTTTCACATTGTCTTACCCAAGGCAGACCCCTTCTGAAAGCAGAACTCTGGGTTTCCCAGGTCCTCCTCTATTGTTCTATTAGCCAATGTTTCTGCAGTAGCATGTCTGAGGAGGAGAACAGGACTTTATTTTCATAGGCAACATCTAGAATCTTCCTGTTTATTCCATCAATGCACAGCGGACTGCAAGAATCACCTTTCAGTTACTATTGCATAATTCTTGAGTAAGTCTGATCTGTCAAAAAAAACCCTTACTCTCTCTTTCTCCCTAGTGAACTCTGCTTTTCTTCTTTCCATGCTATTCTTGTGCTTTAACAGCCTGACAAGAGGCCTTTTTGTACTTCATCTTACTCCCCAGCCCAGATTAGGAAGTCTCAAGTACTTCATCACTAAAAATGCAGACATCTATCATTTTGTAACAGTATGTGCCTTTGATCAGGTTATTAGGGCAGGTCTGTGTGTATGCTGTAGGAAACACAGGAAGTAGCACATAAATAATAATGAGGTACCTTTTATGGTGCTCACCTACCCATTAAAATGGAACTGTATGAAGTTCTCTTGTCATAAAGAAACTCCCTTTCCTATGAGCAAGGAAACTTGCAGAGTTGTCATCCCAGGCTGTCAGGAGGAAGCCTGCTCCCTTGATGGACAAAACAGGAAGAAGGAATTCTGTTGGCTGCTCATTGTTTTCCTTTACTTGTTAGCATTGGCACAGATTGAAATGTGAGACTTGTAGAGCAGTGGTTCCTGTTCACTCCTGTTTTGCCTGAATGTTTGGGTACTGTTTCAGAAACCTCAGCTTCAGTCAGCTTCAGGATGAATATCTTGGCCTGCAATTTGACTCTTTAAAAATGTGGGACCTATTTGAGGCAGCCCCTCTCCTTTGGCGGTATACATTAAAGATCTCTGGAGTAAAGCAGGCTGGCTCTCTTTCTGTCAGGGGAGAATGCTGTTAACTGTTCCAAGATGCCTGACAGGTCCTCTTCTATTCCTTCAGGTTCTGCCCTTTCTATAAAACAGTGGGAATGCTTTCCAACATGATTGCATTTTATGATATGGCACGCCGTGCTGTAGAAACCACAGCTCAGAGTGACAATAAGATCACGTGGTCCATCATCCGAGAGAACATGAGTGAAATCCTCTACAGACTTACCTCCATGAAGTTCAAGGTATGTTTGTAAGGAAGTGGGTTGTCCTGCTTCCTGTGAGCTTCCAGGGCCTCTGAAAGACCGACAGTGGTGTTGACCAAAGACCTTTGATAAAGGTCTGAACAGAGATCCTTTGCCATCATTTTGAAGACAGTAAAGAATTGGCTTGTGAGCACAGGAATGGTCAGTGCGGAAATCAGGTGATGCTGACTGCACAGCCTTGGCAACCCCACCTTCAGCACCTTCAACATCTCTTTTCTGTTACATATAGTCATGGTAACAGTACAAGCATC